TCGTAGCGGTCACACAACAATTGCCAAGCTATGTCATAGTTTGTCGCACAGAACTGAATGGATTTAATTACCACAGCAGCGGAACCTTCCAAAGACGCTCTCAGGTAATGATATTTGTTTATAATATCTATACTTTGATTTGAGTGTATTAGGCTATCAAAAGTATCACGAAACTCGAGCCAATTTTCATACGATCCATCAAACTTAGGCAGTTGTATGGTAGGTAATTTGACGGGCTTGTTATTATTATTGGTACCACTATGAGAGCAGCATTCACTAGGCACGGGAGATTTTTTATGAGTAGCTATTATTTCTTGTGCACGACAGAGGATTTTATAGTAACGAGACTCAAACTCATCCCTCTCTAACAATTGAGTCTCACAGTCAGCAATACATTCGAGCCTTGTTTGCGTCTCGTCATAACTAGCATACAATGATTCTAGCTTACCTAATCGCATTTCAATTTCGCTAATGTCTTTTGATGTTATCGCTGAAGTATCTAGTGACTTTAGAAAACCAGAAAAGATAGTTATCCGACCCTTGTAGCTACTGCGTTTCTTAATGAGTTCTGATATTTCCCGTGTTACTTCCATATCGGCCTTGTCACTTTTTGTGGACATCGTGGGAGACGATTGATAAATCCTGGAATTTATAACAATAGGATCAAATACTGAATAAGTTTATAATTTTATACCTGTAATTGAGCGTGTCAGCTTGGAAAATATTAAACTAAATCACACATAATTTTAATGTACTCGTAACTGCAATAAGGTTTTTATAATAATGACTTTACACAATGTTATTCTTAATTGTAACTATTATTTACTTACTTCAACCTACTTGTCGAAATATAAAATGAGCAATTACGGAAAAACTTAAATTAATTAGTTTAAACGTTACTTTAAACACAATAAGCAAACGATTAATACTTAAATATGATCTCAGTTCTAAACTGTAAGATCACAAAATTTATTAAAGTTAACCTTTATTTGCTCAATGACACAGAAGATTTAGGCTAAGAAACGAATAAATTTGTGCAAGTACTAACCTTTTAATTATTTAAATTATTATTATAAATACTACCTTTAGAGTGTTGGGTTAATTACAACTTATAATGTGAACTTAATGTCCAAGCCACTTTTTAAAGCACCTGTCGAACTTCTCCACGTTGTTGTAACCCGTCTTGATTTTTTAATAATATATATAATTTCTTCAAATTATTGCTGATTTTCATGAAAATATTATTAATCAGGCTCGTAGGACCATGTATAAGACTCCAAGGTGGTAAAATAATTTAAAAGCAGTCGAGTAGAATTAATAGCGTGTAATCCGAACCAAGACAAAAAACTGATTGATTAGAGGTTACAATATAATAAAATTAACTGCACATAAGCCTAACGTGCGGTCGTTCGCATCATTAACCACTTGAGTTTAATATTGCTTTATAAAAAACAGTAGGCGCTCCGACAACTTGTGTGCTTATTTTAGTAGGTAATTTTAAGCACCATTGTCTAATCATTATAATATAAAAATCATTTGCAATGCATTTTGATTAAATAGCGACACACTTACGACCTCTGCTGGGACGTACCGAATGTATACACGTCGTACAAGCAGTAGGTACCTACGCGTCTACTATTGTGGAACGACGTGCGTACAGTGTACTGCTCTTTTAACTTTGTTAATGTACCGCAAGATGGCGCTTTTATACAATTACAGACTAAGATTGTAAACAAATTTTTTGAATTATTTGTTTACACTTTTTACATATTAGTGTAGCTCGTCTATTACTATAGGATATACCTGCTAGGAGCATTCTCCGTGTGAGGAGAGGCCTTTACTTACTTAAATCATACAATTGGTGTACGTTTGTTAGTAGATAATAATAAAAAAATATTATGAAGTTTTAACGTATCATAATGTCAATTATATTAGTAGGCTTTTTACAACGCTAGAACTTGCCGATGGCCGAACTCGACCTGATGATGGAGCCGGACGACAGTCGAGGGATCTCCTGCACTATTGGAGTAGTTGCTTTGTGTTTGGGCTTGAATGGTTCGTATTGGTGAGCACTTTGCACCAAGATTCGTGACTGTCATTAAGGGTCTGATGTTAAGAACGAAGGACTACTCAGGGAACTCCTGAACGGTTCACAGTAACTACCTCGTGTTTGGACTAAATTCATTTATATCGATGAAAGCTTCGCACCTATATGGGTTACAAATAAGTTATGGAGTAAATCTGCTGATAGAGCAGGAAGACTGTCGTGGGATCTCTTTGACTATTTGGAGTACTTAATGATGTTGTGCTTGAACTTAATTCATCTATATTGATGAGAACTTTGCACCTATATGGATTATGTTAGTATATTGAAGGTCTGCAGTATACATGATGATGGAGACTTTAAATTTATTTAAAGTCAAATTCTGAGTACCGCTAGGAATTTTATTGTAGAAGCGCATACATTGAAATTCTGTGTGTGATAACGGAGTACATAACCATACCATACCGAAAGGTGATCACAGGAGAGTTTCTATTCACTCAGTCTACATTCATTAATTTCCTCCTCTCCAAGTAATGAAACATTGGATCCTCATCGTGCATGGGCTCGTTTGATGCGTCTTTACGATACATTTTACTAGATTCTTATGGAAAGTTACGAATTACTCACGTGACTTACTGAGAGAGCTCTACTAGTTCGAAGCCACAATGGGACTCTATTCATAAACAGCGTAGCCGAAGCCGCGGGTGGAAGTTAGTTCTTCAAATTTTCAGTTTTTAGTATACAAATAAGCTGAGGAAGTGTGGAAGAGCCATACTTCGGCATGAATGGGCCGGCTCGACCGGAGTGATACCACGGTCCTCAGAAAACCGGCGTGAAGCAACACTTACGTTGTGGTTGTGGAGGCCCAATCCTTTCCTTTCCTCTTCCTATCCTCAATCCTGAAATTCCCTATCCTTAAATTCGTTACAACCATCTCCACTTCATTGGTATTGCGAGTGTCTACGGACGGCGCTGATTGCTTACCACCACGTAATCCGTCCGCTCGTTTGCCGACCACATTGCCGACCGACATAAAAAAAACCCGCCAACTGCGTATCGGGCTACGCTCAATGTAGGGTTCTGTAGTTTCCCTTCTGTTCCTTTCTGACAATAACTATCCTCATTTAAGAGTTATTATAAATGTTAAAACCGCAATTCAGCAAAATTATCCATCTCTTAGAAATTGGGTTACAAACTAGACTCGTGATGTATGTTATGTTTTTGGTGGTCATTTTGGATTGCATAAACCGATTTTAATATTATTTTTTTTTAATTGAAAGAAGACACTTTTTAAGTAATAAAATATACAAAGTTAAAATAACCCTCCTTTTGCTTTGCCGTAGTCGGGTAAAAGTTCTTGCGTATTAAAGGTTAAATTACAAAATTAGTTCTGATTTGTTTTTGTACAATATTTCAAAAACTGTTCAACCCATTCAGTTCAAAATATTTGTCCCAGAAAGTATTAATGTAACTCTACTTTCTTTGAAGTTAGTAGTTTTAACAGGTAAATTTGGTTTGGTTACGAGATTATGTAATTAGCACGAAACGTTAAATTTGCTTAAGGCCAAGGCCGCGGTGCCAGATTGCGCTTTTCCCGCAACCCCGCCCCGGCTGAACATCCGCCCTGTAGGGCCCCATCTGTGCTGGTCTACTGACTCTTTGAGGTGCGCGCTGAACGCGCGAGCTACCCTTACTTGCCGTCTGCACGGCCGTGCTTATGGTGGCCAGAGATCGTCTCTCTAACGTGTTGTGGAATACGATACAGTTCTAGCAAAAGTCATGCTTGTTATATTAACGAATTTTCATTCTTCAGTAAAAACAAGTACATAAGTACAATTGGAGATACTGCATTGTAGACATTGGGTTACCACAACAGGAGAGCTGCCGACTGACCCATAGCCTTCATATATTCTTACAAGCCAAATCAAGCTTATATGTATGGAAATGGTTAGACTAGGGAGGAGATAAGAGATGTAGTCACGGTAAAACATTTATAAAATCGATTTTAACAATAGGTAAAATGCAATATACATTTCACTAGCATCTGCCCGCGGCTTCGCTTGTGGTGTGTTGATAAAACACACCACATGGAACATATGTGTTTATTTAGAGTAATATCGTATACCTACAAACCAAATTTCAACCTAATAATTTCAGCCATTTTTACACATGAAATAATATTTTTGCGTGTGGTAATGCATCCATACATTCTCACAAACTTTCATAATTATTGTATTAGTCGGAAGTACGTTAGACTGCCAGACGGATTTCGACGTTTTATTGTACACTGACTCTTTTAAGCCTGAGCCTCAAAGTAAGTATATCTTTTGGATAAAAACTTATATAGGGACTTTGGTTGGTTGGTGGTCTGTATTTATAGGAACAAGTATATTTAATGTCGGATGCCACTAATCAGATCATTCGTTGCAGTTATTGTTACAAATTCAAAGGACATGCATTGTGAAGGTTTGACTTACATTTCATTATTATGTATACGCATCGAACACAATTTATATTGTTCCGGATAAATAAAAGAATTACCTAGAAAAATATATATTGCAATTGGCGTGAATGAACGTTTGCCATCTCACGCTCTTGCCTCTAGTTTTGTTGTTGTGGCTATTTTCTAGATAAAAGATGATAATGTATTGTTGTAGATGCTAAGTTAAAGAAATACTGTCCATTGTCGCCTATGTGTGCTTGAAATGTATTTTAAGAATGGGGTTACAATGCGCCGGCTTTTTTTGGGTGGACAAATCATCGAGTGTTTTGTGAAGATTTGACATGGTGCTGTATAGTAGCTGCATCTGTCGTGCAACGGCAGTATTGTGAGTGCCCCGGCTTGCGGCAGTGGTGGGGCACTGTGTAGCAGTGTGCACGTGCGAGTGGCGGCGCGGAGGGAGGGCTCCGCGCGCCCGTAGCCCGGGCCTGCCACTCGTTGATCTCAGCCGCCAGTCGCTTTAGTATCGCGGTTGCGTTCGGAGGGAGAGGTCGCGTTGGTTACGGTTTTCGCTTTCGTACACGTGTTATTATTATACCAATAATAACACGTAAAGTTGTGTGTAGTTGACGAGTTCTTGTTTAATTTAAGTAGTAAAAGTATAGTGTTTTGTGAATACATTGTGTAAATGAAACATACAAAAAGTGAATTTGGAATCAGCTTGCGATGCAGGCTCAGCGGCCGTGCTGTTGTCGATGCGACCGGTGAATAGTGCACTTGTTGCGATATGTCATTCTTAGTGAGTTGTCTGATAGCGTGTTGTGTGCTGTGGGGGGTGGCGGGCGACGTTAAGCCGGAGCTGTCGATGCTGTTGGTGTCGCGTTGCTGCCCAGAGGGACATGTGCTCACCGCCGAAGCCTTGCGCTCTCCCATACTGCCATCGACAGTAGCCGCCGCACCATGCCAACAAGTGGACAGGAATGTGACATGGTCTCCGCGAGTGTATGCGCTGAAACGAAATCGTACAAACCCAAATGACACGGGATTCGTCACGCTTGGCTACGTCCCGCGTCATTGGCGCTATGAGTGGGGAAAGCTTCCAGACTGCAATCCCTTACGAGTACTGCCGGAGTACGCGGCGCCTTATGCCCTGCTCGCCCGCACCGGAGCTATGATGATTCGTGGAGTTTCGAAGCCATTGGACCTGAAGAGATACTGCTGCGACCAGACCGCGGCACTGGTGTGTGCGGATGATACGTCTTGGAAGTCGACTAAATGTTGTGCGGAGGGGCGAGCCTTTAACGGTACGCACTGCGTGGAGCAGGCCGAGCGAGCGCAGGAGGCCCTGGAGGAACTGCGTGCTCTCGCCGCAAGCTCCGACAGCCCGGGCGGTGCAGGCTCTGGCAGCGCGGTTGGCTTCGGCTGGCCGCTGTGTGGCGACGGGTCGCGCTACGCCGTGGCGGGACAGCTGGCGGGCGCCAGGCTGGGACAGCGCGGCGAGCTGGAGCTGCGCGCGGCCGGCGGCGGCGGCGAGCTGCTGGCGGGAGGCACTTGGTGCGCGGAGGCCGTGCTGGGCGAGGCGGGCACGCGAGTGCTGGCGTGCGAAGCGGAGGCGCGGTCGCAGCGACCGACGACGCAAGCCACGCGGCACGCGCTGTATGGCGCTGGGCTAGCGGTCGGAGCGGCCTTCCTAGCGGCCACGCTGGCGGCAGGCTTCGCCCTGCCGGCGGCGCACCACGCGTTGCACTGGCGCTGCCAGACGCACTACGTGGCAGCGCTGATGCTGGGGGACGTGCTGCTGGCCGCCACGCAGCTGGCGGGGGACCGCGTACCTCCTGGGCTGTGCCGTGCGCTGGGTGAGTGCCCTTCGGTCCTGGTCCGAGTGACATATGACGCGTGCACCCCGCGCCTCGTGCTCATCGAGATCTCGTTTGTTTCATGTGCTGTGCAGCTGTGTGCATGCATTTCTTGTTCCTGTCGGCATTCTTTTGGCTGAACACTATGTGTTTCAACATCTGGTGGACTTTCCGGTGAGTATTAAGCGTTTATTAATTTATTTCTGTATTTAGATGACAATTTACATCAAAAGTATTTCCTGTGTATACTTGTGGAAGTAGGAAGGTCGTTACTGCGGAGTCTCGTTATATGGAGCTACAAGTGGAGTTGCTGAGGTTGCTCTTTTGTCTCTCGTTTCGGTTTGTTTTGGCAATAATTTAAAAATATATATATAAACGACAAAAGGTATCTTTCTAAAGCCCCAGATCCTTATGGAGTAGGCAGTAGGCTCAACACGACACTTTTTGTTACTTTTTTTAACCAGTTTTATAAGTTTCGTTTACTTTAATTGAGGCAGTATGTATAATATTTATATAGGTAGGTATACTACATCTGTTTGGTGGAAAGAGAATCAGGTGTACACGTTTTGTCTCGTATATTTTGGTCAGTAGTAGTATGGTCAGTTGGCCTCTCGCTCTGTGACGACCTCGTCCTGTGGTGCTGCTGTGTTGAGTGTGTATGTGTGTGTATTCAGGGACTTCCGTCCGACGTCGTTGGAGCGCGGGCAGGAGGCCTGGCGGCTGCGGGTGTACATGGTGTACGCGTGGGGCGGGCCGCTCCTGCTGGCGGGCGCGGCTGCGGCGCTGGACCAGCTGCCGCCGGCCGCCGCCGCGCCCTTCCTGCGTCCGCGTTTTGCTGTGCAACGCTGCTGGTTCTACGGTGACATGGAGATCTTAGTCTACTTCTTCGGGCCCGTGGGCGTCTTACTGCTCGTCAATCTGGCGCTGTTCATATCGACCACTCGCCAGCTCACCTGCGGCCTCTGGCGACGCGACGAAGTCAAGTCCACTTCTGAACGGTGAGCTATTCGAAATTTTAGTTATTAATCATTTTAAGGATATTCTGTTCGTAAAAAGTAATACGACTTTGTTATAACTCGTAGGGCGGCTTTGGGTCGCGTGTGCGCAAAGCTGGTGGTGGTGATGGGCGTGACTTGGGGAGCGGACGTAGTGTCGTGGGCGGCGGGCGGACCCGACTACGTGTGGTACGCTACGGACCTGTTGAATGCGCTGCAGGGCGTGTTCATCTTCCTGGTGGTGGGCTGCCAGCCTCACGCTTGGGCCGCCGTGAAGCGCGCGGCGGCGGCGTGCTGCGCGCGCGGCCGGGACGGGGCGCAGGCGCGCGCCACGCACTCGTCCACGCACCTGCCGTCCTGTGGGGAGTCGCTCACACACACCACGCCGGCGCCCGCGTCCGCCGCGCCGCCGGCGCCCCTGGCGTCCCCGGCGCCCGCCCCGCGGGTCCCAATGGAGACAGTGTGCTGAGTGCTGCGTCAGACTGTACTGAGACTATTACTGACTGCCGAGTGAGGCTTGAGCTTTAATGTAATGTTATGTACTTAGTCATAGTGAATATTTATTCTTCAGTATTATTTTGTATGTTCGTAACGATTGCGATCGATGTTGTCGTATGATTGACTGATGACGGACTACAAGTGCGTGTATCTGCAGTCACATAGAAGGATTAAATGATGCATATAAATGCGACGTGTTTATTGTAAGTACGTACCGTGTACTGAGTCGACGTAAGCTACTTTCGAAGCTTACGTAATATCTTGCCCTGTTAGATGACTGTTGAAACAAAAAAATAAATGTTACAACAATTATGCGATGTTTCTCTAAACAAAGGCAGTCACTCGCTGATCGCGCGTTGATGTCTTTTGTTCCTCCAATCACATTCGAGTCATCCTATAGTAATAATATTACGATTCCCGTGTATCAAAAAATGTTACCCTCGTTCTGATGCAGTCAAATAACGTACGTACGTATTAATTTAATAATGATATGCTATTAAATACAAACATATGGGTAACTTAAAGAGATTAATAAATAATGTGTTATTAATCTCTTTAAGTTACCCATATGTGCTAAAGGACGACAGAATATAATATTTTAAGTAGGTGTATACTTGTATAAGTGTTGTACTTATACTTTTTAACATATTTAGTAAGTACTGCGTATTTATAACACAAATATATACATAAGTAATAGGTACTTATTACTTGCAACCAAACAGCAGAGAGGTGAAGCGGTACCTTAAACCCGTGCCGGGGTCCAGGGTGTGCCTAGTGTATGTTCCAGTGCCACAAACTGCTAGATACATTTCGTTGATTTGAGATTCGCAGCAAATTTAAATATACGTTTCCTTATGTAGGTACGTTTTCGTCATATCTTTGTACTAGTAGGGGAGCCCAGGATGCTAAATTTGTAGCTACTCAAGCGTCGTAGGGAGTAACTGAATTCTGAAGATTTGGTGGTAGAAAGAAAAAATGACTCAATGACATTTCATTCTGCCGGTGGGGTTAAACTTTTGTTTTAGTGTACGAGCGTGACAGATGTTAATAATGTATCTCCGACAATGAAAATATTTTAATCTGCCGAATCGCATGGTGGGGTTGGCTAACTAAGGGGATAGTAATGGGATCCGTTCAAAACCCTACCACTGTTGCAAACCACGATGAAATCGGCAGATTTTTTAAACGCCTTTTCATTTTTATTTTCATTTTCATGAGCATATGATGGGTATATTCATCGGTTTACTAAATATTCCCCATAAGTTAATCTGACGCGTTCGAGTAACTACCGAGATTCCTTGATGGGCTCCCATACTATACCTATACCTATATAATATCTGTGATCGAAGTCGTGGTTCCTGCAAGAACACGAAGTACGTCCCGGTTGTGCGCTCGCACTACACCGCTCGGGGGCGCCACAGGGACATCCCAACATTTGAATATACTTTTCATTCTGTACAATCAACTCATCTTAAACAACACATCTTTATCACACACAACACAAGCTCCCCGCCTTGGTTTCGCACGGGTGCATTACTAATACTACAGAAAATCTGTCACATCTTCAATGAACATACATATGTATAGGTATATGCTGTTTGCGATGTTATCGGAAAACATATCATTATTTACGACATCATATTAGAAACCTTAATGGATGAATTATTTAATGGATGTAACTATACACGTAAACCTTACTTCTAACCATTTTATCTATTAATTAAAAACCGCATCAAAATCCGTTGCGTAGTTTGAAGTAATTAACCACATGACTTATATGGCTATTTACTTGACTGCACGGTTGGTGCGGTGGCTGGGCAACTGGCTGCCGTGCAACGTGTCGCGGGTTCCATTACCGCACGGAACGACTGTTTGTGTGACACACAAATTGTTGTTCCGGGTCTGGGTGCCATGTGCATATGAAATTGTATGTTCGTAACCGCACCCACGACACAGGAGAAAATGCTAGTGTGGGGCAACGTTCTTTTAAAGAAAAAAAAAAAAGAATATTGGCACAGAGGATAAAAAAAATCTGTATTCTATGTAGTGATACATTGTCTCGACGTCGTTAAGGTGATCAGATACTGCCTATTAAAAGAACCATTCTGTTCAAGCGACTGTCTGTGGAACTCATTGCCAAATCTAAGTCGGCCTCAGTTAAATAATATCTCACAATCATATACACATAAATATTTATAAAAATTATCATGTAGGGTTGGTAATGAGCTATGTTTGTCTTCTAGTAACTAATAACTTTGACCTGGGTCTGCCTTGGGCAGAACTGCGAGTGCTGCAGGAGTGCTCACAGTTCAGGAACTGAACAAAGGTGGTCAGGAGGAGACAGCAGAATAGATGTGACCGCCGATGTATATATTTATGTACCGATCGTTTGTATTCGATAAAACTATGCATACAATGAGTAATAAATAGTATTTATGTAATAGCCAACAATTTCTCTAATGATTTATGTACCAACATAGTCTGCGATAGGATGCTTAGAGAATGAACGTTTTATTAATTGAGTTTTAATGACTGAAATTAAAGTAACGGATAAACTACGTCGATAGCTAAAGGTGGGTCGTACTTGGGCAGGACTGAGATACACGCAACTAGGCAGGCAGGCTAGCGCAGGCAGCCTCCTCCACATACACTCTTTCTCTCTCTCTCTCACACACTAACTATTAGTGTGTATACACACTAACAGTTTACATATGCAAACACTTATCACGCACGTAAATAATCTGAGCCAAATTGTTTGAACATTAGTACTATTGAAGTTAGAGTACAACATGACTATGTCAGATTAGTTAATTAACTTAATGTAAGTAATCTTTTGTGTATTTTATACGACCTCTTTAAGATTTATTTATTTATTAAGAAAAATTACATATACAACATTACAGCTTACGCCGTCAAGTTATACTGTTAATTTTATATAAATAATATTACCTAGGTACTTAAAAACTAATGTGGATTAAATACAAAAAAAAACCAATACATTTTTAAAAAATAAAATTTAAGTACTTAATAAAACTGAATAACAAGATTGGTAATCATAGTAATCTTAAACTAAAACAAACATTATAATTTACCTACCTTATTTATTTATTTTTAATATCTACGAAATTCACGACACAGATCTATCCATCTCATTGCAAACAAATCACAATCTAGCGCTGACATCAGGAGAGAATTGAGCATGGTGAGAACTCGGACCAGCGGAGAATTTGCATGGGCCACTGTACGTGCCTCTGGTACAGCTAATAAGATAAAAATATACCTAGATTGTTTACTTTTCGTTCACCACCTAAACCTTACCTTAATTATATAACCCGAAGGTGCACTGTACACAGCTACAGGTTTTTACCAAATTTATATGTATAATTTACAGAACAAATCCTAGGTAATTAGTTGACACTGACCAATGAAAAAGGAGCAGTGGAAACAGTGGTGTTGTGTAGTGCGGAGCGGCGCGGGGTTCGTGAGGCGGTAACGGTCACGAACGGTTTGACATGGCGCGCACCTCGCGTCCGCTGCCCGGGGCAAGAGTCCGGATCTCTCGCCAACACTCAACAATCCGATTTCTTTTTACGAATACAACTTACCCACTCGACTCGGCTTACGAATCGATATACCGACTGCGGTAATTGGAGGAATGTTTTTTTTCCGGACTCTTCCCAATCAGTGTTAGACACGGTGCTTTTATTTGAGCGGCTGCCGTCAGCCCAGTGCGCTCCAGTTCCACTAGGAGGGCCCATTTGGCAGCCGAGTCCAGAACGTGCGACGCTTTAAAAGCCAGGTTGGCGGGCGTTCCTGTTTTTGTAAAGAAAAATGCGAAGCAAGTATATAGTACGTGGGGCCTGACTGGACAATGAAATATAATGTTTCTTTGCACAGACAGGCACACAAACAGGGTGTATGTGTGTGTTCACTTGTAACAGTAAGCAGCGTCGCGCTCGGTCGAGAGCTGCTTGTTTGTGTCTAACAGAGTATCTACAGATAACTAGAGCAACATGCGAGCGTGCTCGCTGCCGACAGGACAGCTGCTGATAACACCAAGTTATTGCGCCTAATTAAAACATATTTAGATAAGCAGAGCTCGCGGTCAGTAGTCAGAATGGTCTGTCAGTGAAATGAAACCTCGTAAGCTTGTTGTTACTCTCTCGTTTCGTGCCCTTTGTGCATAGGGTATTCCCGCAGTCGGCGAGTCAGACATCTCTTAATTTCAGCGAGAAAGACAGCGACCTACATCTCCAATGCTTCGTCGGAAAGTGAGATCTAAGTGAATGTGGAGGGTGCCCAAGCTGGCAGCCGCCAGTCGGCGGGAGCAAGTAGTAATGAACTGAGGAGATGGAGTTGTTAATGTGACGTGCGGTAGACGTGAGTCGAGCGAGTGCCGCGGCCTGCACCGTGGTTCCTGGTACTGACTGCACACACGCGGCAATCTTTATGTTACTTACTGATTTTAGTTTGCGTGACAGAGAGGGTCGTGTTATCCCTACGGAAAAGAAGGCGAATGCCTACGGCGCAGTTGTATAGCGGCGCTACGGGGACCGCGTGTCCATAGGCTAAGCATGAAAGTAAATCTCATAAAAATAATTTAGCCACCTATTAAGTATTTGCCCAGGGCGTCCGCTAAGTTTTGATCTGCTTCGGGTCCAGGTGTGATGAGTGTGTGAATTTTCATGTTTGTAAACACACACCTTTGAATAATTTATTTTTACAGTTTGCAAAATTATAATATCGTCAATAAACTTTATTGCTGCTATAAAAATGTCCGATTACATCCGATTATTGCCAGTGCAGGAGTTATGGGATCCTTGAAGTAGGATTCGACCCTTCGACGTGCCTTGCTGTTCGCACCGCTGCCTGCCGCGCTATCAGCGCTACTTGACTGCTCTACCTAGCGAATTTACACAGAGAAATATATTACCAATACCTATTGTATCTAATGATTAATTAAGTATAATTGGGAATTAGGAGTCTTTATCGTAACGATGACACATTAAACGATTTAACGATAATTACGTATTCGTAATCTGACGTAATAGTAAATGACTAAGCAAGTACCACAAATGATAATAGGTATTAATGTAGTAATATGCAAGAAACTCGCGACTTCGTCCGGATGAACTATTCTATGTGTCGCTATGGCGCGGGAACGCTATATTCTTTCGAAGTAAAAATAAGGAAGTAGAGAAGTAGCCTAAGTTACTCCTTATTACACCAAGATCCAAACTATAGAGACCCAGCCCGGCTTCACACCGGGCACGCGGTTATATGTAGCAGCGGTGAGATCCCTCTTTAAGGAG